AGCGAGGCTGTCAAGTGAAGCTAACTTTAGGCCAAAAATCCTTCTCTCTTCATGAGGGGAAATGATTTTCAGTCTTAAGGCAGTTTTATTTATTCGTTTGAGGTGGATGGAGAGAGAACATATTTTTTCACTGGTTCATTCTCCAGATGTCCCAGCCATGGAGGCTCGGCTGGCTGCAGGCAGGAACTGAGAAGGCAGGGCAAGACGAATGGGAGGAGCCCCACCTGTCCACCAGCGTCTGCATCTGCAGGAAAGCTGGAGTCAGGATCTGCAGTATCAGGAGTTGAACTGGGTAGTCTGATGTGAATGACAGGCATATTAATAACCAAATGCTTGCCATTGGGAAGTGACTTTCAACTTCCCCTCAAAGCTCAGAGATCTTTTTGGCTGAATGGAGTACAGAGGAACCATACCGATTGTGGCTGGGCCGTGCGAAAGGAGTGTCCTGGCTGATGAGGTGTTGTTAGTACTCTGTGGTTTATAATTATTTGTATATTTATCTGATTCTTTTGTAATAGACTATAAATCTCCTGCTGCCACTTGTAGTTTTTGTGACTTGGCAAAAAAAAAAAAATGCTGAAACTTGAATAGCCTCTTGCATTGAAGATCACCTTAGCTGGCGCTGATACTGAAAAGATGGGACTAGGTTTAGAGTGACTTTGATCAAATTAAAACTGCTGAAGAATGATCCACAGGAAGGAGGGTTTGATGTTTTCAGATGAGGGACAGTGTAAGGCAGGGGCTTCAAAGACAACCTGACTTTAGTGACCTGAGGATTTTCTCCGATATTTTCATCACTCTTGTTGGTGTTATTGGGATGGGGTTGGGGGAGGAGGTTAGTATTGAAGGACTTCTTAAGAAAAAAAAAAAAGTGGTTTTCTTTCTAAGTTCCTTGGGTTGGCCTTTACAATCTCACCACACTCGCACAGTAAAATGGACCAGATAAAAATATCTTGTGACATTTTACAGGGCAAGGAAGAGGAAAACTGAGTGGAGGTTGTACTTCATTTTTGGTTGATGCTACTGGGAGTGAAGAGAGCTGTCCTGAAACAGCAAGCGGTGGGCATTGTGTGCAGCGGGTCGCTTGTCTCTTGCAAGTCACATCCCACAGACTGGCTGGTTGGGATCCTAGCTTTTCCCCTTCTGAACCAGCCTCCTGTTTTACATGCTGGGAGGCAGTGGTTGGTGGCCCAAGTACTTGTTTACTGCCACCTGTGAGGGAGACTCAGCTGAAGGTCTAGGTTCCTAACTTCTACCTGTCTACCCTGGCTGCTATGTACCCCTGGAGAGAGAAACCGATGATGGAAGGTTTCTCAGTCTCTCTCATTTGCTCACTCTGACTTTTAAATAAGATAAAAAGGAATGGTATGGATCTGAATAAACTTCTAATTCTGTAGAATCAAGAGATCAGTGTGCCAAAGGTGAGCGTGAGAATGTTTTAGGAGCAGGTGTTTAGTGTAGCGGTAGACACCATTTGGGATACCTATACGCTATATCAAACGGCCTGAGTTCCAGTCCAGGTTTTGCTCCAGATTCTAGCTTCCTTCAAGTGTGCATCCTGGGAGGAAGCAGGTGCTGCTGCAAGTGCTTAGGTGCCTATCCCTCACGTGAGAAACCTGGGTTTGCCTTCCAGGCTTCTGGCTTCCACCCGCCCCATTCCTGGATGCCGAGGGGCATTTCGGGGTGTCTAGCATATGGAAGGTCTCCCTGTGTCTCTGGTGTCTGTCCCTCTCTTGCCATTTAAATATTAAAATAAAAGAAAAACATTTTTTAAAAAAGAATGTAATTTTACAAATGTTTCAATAATCCTGGGGGAAGGATTTTGACTTGACCAGTGTATCAGAATGGAAATGGATGTGGAAACCCCAGTGGGAACTGGGTTGCATAAATTATTCAGAGTTCCTGGGCCTGGGCTTTGGCTAGTAGGTACTTAGCATGTTAGTCTGGATAGTCTAAATTGTTATGACAAATGGCCCCTGGATCTCAGTGGTCCAACACAATTAAGCTTATTTCTTGCCATGTAACTTTCTAATACAAAGCTCTAGCTTGGTTAGCAAATCTAGCTTTAAGTGTACAAACATTTATCAACAATGAAGCCGTACTGAAGCTCATGAAACAAGGGGCAACCTCGGCTTGGAATCCAGGGAGGTGTAAACTTCGCCTTGTGCAGCTGTTCTGTGCGACAGCTCTGTCCCCAGGATGTCAGAGTCTCCAGCAGAGCCTGGGGTGAGGGAGAAAGGACAGCCAGCATCCAGAAAGCACACCTGCCCCCTGCCACTGCCGGCTAAGGTCTCTGGTCGCTCTGTTCCCTGGACATGGGAGAGGGCGCTTTACGTGGCCTTCCTAGCTGCCAGGAGCCCACACAATACAGTGTACCAAGGACAGCAAGAAGTAGGGAAGTGGGGAACAGCTAGTTGGTCTCTGATGTTCTCGGTAAATGCTGGCTAGATCAAAGGAATTGCTTCTCTCAGGATTGTCATGGACCCAGCACTAGGAGCTCACTAAAGCTGTGGTAGAGTAGCTTCCTTTCTGTAGCTCTCGGAAGGCATCTCTATGTAACAAGAGGCTGCTTAACTCAAGATGACATGTCGAGGATAGTGAGAAGCCTGTATGCCTGCCCTATATCCTTGAAGTGGCACCTGCATGTAGTTGGCTGCTATGACTGGTAATACCCTTTTCTCTCTCTGCAGACTATATGCCCTTTGGGAAGCATGTTTCATCTATTTACAAACCCAAATGGAGCACTTGTGCTGTCGGGCAAGCATCTGGGCACTTGGCTACTGCTGGCTGATTCAATGCACATTAGCCCATCCTGCTTCGCTCCGTGCCACAGCTAAGAAAACGGAGACACAGAGAGGATAGGAAGTTTCCTCTGAGTCATGGCTTCTGCATGATGGGGTGGAGAGTCCCAGTCCGATGGTCAGAGCTCAGCAATTGAGCCCCCGATGATTGCATCATGCCACCTCTCCTGAGAGCCTCTCCTTCCCTTTCCACTCACACTGGAGTTAGCAGCCCAGGACATTACAGACATAGCAGGAGAGTTGGCCCCAAATTTCCACTGGGGCATTCCTGCTGCACATTGTTTCCAGTTGGCAGTTACAGATAGAAACAGAGCCTGATAAACATGTAATTCAGGTGTAACAATCAAATTGCGGAAACCCATAATAAATGTCTCAATCCTTGTTGCTTCATCAGAATAAATCAATGAAGAGAATTCTAGGACCTAAGAATGGGCTGGTGGAAGAGGTGAAAGGGGCGTCTTCTACTCTCATGTGACAAATGATCTCTCCTGCATTCATTTTATTCACCCAGCAGCTGTGGAGGTCCCATAAACCACAAAACATAATGGTGAGCAAATTTCATATAAAATTGCCTTCAGGTTCCCTATGTGCGTTTTTTTACAGTGCACAGGAAGTGTAAGTGATTCTTGTATTTAGATTGGGTCCTGTCCTCAAGATAGCACATGTATATGCCAAAAAATTCAAAATCTGGAAAAAAAATCTTGAATGTGAACACTTGTGGCTGCAAGCATGTCTGGCAGGTGGTCCTCCACCTGTAATGGGGGTGGGAGCGTGAAGATGCTGACAAGGCTCACCGCACCAACAACACTACAGAATAGCAGGACTGAGATGGGCTGAAGGAGGCAGCAGGAGGGACGAAGGTTCCAAGCAAAGAGGACAGGAGGAGGACAGTCGGGAGGAAGCAGGAGAAAGGTCAGTGTGGCTGGCACTCACATTCCAAAAAAGCTTCCAGGACTTAGGGAGGACTTTGATGTTCTTCATGGAAATCCAATGAAAGCGCTTAAGCAGGGGAAGGGATACAATACTGTTTGCATTTTAGAAACATTTCTGAGTGACAGATCCAAGGGGTTCCCAGTGGAGATAAGCCTGCCAGCGAAGAGGTTCCTGCAAGGGTCCGTCCCTCTATACAACTGACTGCCACAGCTGCATGGGAGCTTCTCCTTGCCAAAAGGTGTAGCAAGACTGACTTAAATTTTCCTTGTTTCAGCACGTAAATCCTATCTCCCCTCGAGGGGAGAACATGTTTCAAGACTCCAAATACAGCTTGTGAGAAGGGATTTTTTTGCAGTTGTGTCCTCTTTTCCCATTAGAATTGGAGAACGACAACTTGGAAGCAGTGAGTATTTACAGAGGGCACCCAGATAACTGGATACTAAAAAATTGAAAGGTTATAGAAATAGATCATTGACTCTAATAAATATTTATGGTAGCCATGAGTGAAAGGAAAAGTCGTCGGAGGAACCGTAAGTGAAAGGAGAGACAATTAGAGAGCTCCTTCCTTGGGTGGAGGAGGCTGGGGGAGCATTTTTCATGAGAGAGGCCAGCCCCAACTCTTATTTGAAGTGTTTTTTTTCCCATGCCTGTAACAGTTCAAGAGGCTAATCCAGGCCTGATATCTAGGATGAGTTTGAGGTGGCCCTTCGGAGTCAGGCAGACTTGTTCCTCTGTAAATTCTTCAGCTTGAAAAAAACTGGCCCGAGTGCAGCCAGATAAACCACAGCTGGGAACACTCGCGTGGTAGGCCAGGGCACCTGGTTTGGGTACCACCTCCGCATCCAAATTAGCTTCCTGTTAATGTCCTTGGGTTCCTGTCACCCTTGCGTGAAACCTGGAGGGAGTTCCTGGCGCTTAACTTGGGCCTGAGAGCAGCTGCTTTGGGCGTTTGGGGAGTGAGCTGGTGCCTCGAAAAATTTCCCCGCTCTCTCACTGGGTGTGTGTGTGTTTATGGCTCTCCTCTGTCACTCTGCCTTTCACATAAGTAATTTTTCTAAAAGATAGAATCTGACATTTACAAAAAAAAGAGCTCACCGCAGTGAGGCTTGCGATGGTTTACTCCCCAGCAGGAAGTGGAGATCAACACTGCTTACTACCAGAACGCGCAGCCCGCAAGCTGCACATGCTACTTTCTGTTTACACCTCATTAGCCAGAACTAGCCACATAGCCAAGAGGGGCTGGAAAGTCTAGTCGGTTACTAAAGAAATGACAAACAAACATTGTGGACAGACTGACGCAGAGCTGCAGGTAAAACCAGACTATGTTTATGGGACTTATTGTCTACTGGTGAAAAGAAAAAGCCATTAAATAATGAATTATACTAATATTTACTTCATTATAACCCTATGATGCAATAAGTGAAAGTACAGCTGTTATCAAGGTCAGTAGCAGGAGTCAGCCTAATTGGGAGGAGGGGGCAGGAATAGGAGGAGGGGTCCTGGAACATTTTTCTGAGGCTCTAGCGTTAAGACTTGGACCTGAAGGGAGCTGAAGAATGTAACGGGGGACCGAGCATCCTGGCAGGGGCGTCAGGAAGGAATATGGTACCTTCTGAAGACTCAGAGGCTATGGCCCATTGAGAACGGGAGAACAGGACAGCGAGTGGGAAAGGAGAGTGACGAGGGGGGGGGGCAGAGAGAGCGAGCCCCGAAGAGCAGGAGTGCTTGGTGCAGTTTATGCAGGAAAAAGATGGTCCAGTTGCAAAGTGCAGAAGGTATGACTGGGCCATGAGCAGACAGGAGGAGACCAGGTAGTAATCACCCAACTGGAGACTCAGAGAAGGTGGGACGGTCTAAGGCTGTTTCAAGAAGTCACAGGAGGTGTGATTGTAGATCTGAAAATACTTTATTCCTCCCTCGTAAGTAAATACTGGCTTTACTTGGTCCAAAATTTTTGGACTCCACACCATGTTTTGTCACAGAAGACTGTGCTTAACTGCCTTCTAACTATCAGACTTGATGAAAATGCCGAATTCCATCATCACCCCTTATTCATCTGTTGCTTTTTATGTCAGATTTTTCTTATTTTTCTCCAGATTATAGAATTTCAAACATATTTGTATTGATTTCACTTTGTCTGCTCGCCATCTCTCTTTCCTTCCTTTTTTTTTTTTTAAAGATTTATTTTTATTGGAAAGGTAAATTTACAAAGGCAAAGAGAGACGGAGAGAAAGACCTTTTGTCCGCTGGTTCCCAAGTAGCCACAAAGGCCGGAACTGAGTCAATCTGAAGCCAGGAGCTTCCTCCAGGTCTCCCACATAGGTGCAGAGTCCCAAGGCTCTGGGCCGTCCTCAACTGCTTTCTCAGGCCACAAGCAGGGAGCTGGATGGGAAGTAGAGCAGCTGGGATTTGAACCGACGTCCGAATGGGATGCCGTGTTTTCAAGGCGCCTTGCACTGAGCCTTGCCCTGGCCCCTTTTTGGTCCCATTCTATCTGCAAACAGTGATACCGTGTGAAGCCACTTGAATTTCTTCAAGGCTGGAAAATTGCATTTTTACTTCTAAAAGTTCCCCATTTTTTCTCTTTTTTAAACTAACAAACATTAATCTGTGTAAGTATTTGAGACATCCAACAATATCATAAAACTTGACAGTGCTATGTGTTTCTGGGATAAGAAATCTTTTAGTTTTCAGTTCACTGATTTAATCTGTGGCTGAATCTAATTCTATATTTATCCCATCTCTTGGACTTTAGAGACACATCTGTTTTCATTTATAAGAGTTTGGGGCTAGCATTGTGATGTTCCAGGAAAAGCTACTGACTGCAACACTGGAATCCATATGGGTATTATTAATTCATGCACCACATGCCAAACTCCCAGTCCAGCTCCCAACTAAAGGCTTGGAAAAACCAGCAAAAGATGAACCAAGTGTTTGGCTCTTGCCACACATGTGGGAAACCTGGATGGAGATCCTGTCTCCAGGATTTGGCCTGGCTCAGCTCTAGGCATTTTGGCCATTGGGGAAGTGGATCAGCAGATGGAAGATCTCTCTCTCTCTGTAGCTCTGAATTTCAAATAAGTACATAAATGAAGAAATATTTTTAAGAGATTAGTTTTATTTCCATTTATTATATTTAATTAAAAATTTATTTATATGAAGGGCAGAGTTAGAGAGAGACAGAGAGTCAGAAGTTGTCTATCTCCTGGTTCACTCCACGAATGACCACAACAGCTGTGAGTGGGCCAGGCTGGAACCAGAAGATAGGACCTCCATTCAGTCTCCCACATTGGTGGTGGTGGGCATCTCCTGCTATTTTCCCAGGTGTATTAGTAGGCAGCTGAATAGGAAATGGAGTAGCCAGTATTAGTACCAGTACCAGTACTAGTATGGGATACAGGCATTGCCTACAGCTGCTTAACCCACTAGGTCACAATACTGACCCCAAGTTTAATTTGTTTATTCATTCATTTTAATTTTCAAAGGTTTATTTGTTTGGAAGGCAGTTATACACACACAGACACACACACGGGGAGAGAGAGAGAGAGAGAGAGAGAGAGAGAGAGAGAGAGAGAGAGACAGAGAGAAAGTCTGTCCTTCAGTTGATTCCACAATGACTGCAACAATCAGGGCTTAGTCTGGCCAAAGCCAGGAGCCAGAAGTTTCATCTGGGTCTCCTGCGTGGGTCTTGGGGCTGAAGCACTTGGGCCATCCACTGCTGCTTTCACAGGGGGATTAGCAGAGAGTTGGATCAGAAAAGCAGCAGCTGGGATATGAATTGGTGTCCATGGTGGGATGCCAACATGATAGGTGGCAGCTTACCTTGCTGTGCCACAATGCTGTCTCCAAGTTTTGTTTCATACAACTTTTTAGAGGTTGGCCACCCACAGAGTGACACAGTGCTCTTTCACATGTATAGGCATTGAGGCTGAATCAATACACACAGCTGTATAATTACCTCTCCATTCCCATCTAGGAAATTTCATCACCGCCAAAGATTCTTGCCGCCTGGAAATGGTTAGTCTTCTGCTAATCTCCCAAATGGCAGGTTCTAGCCTTTAACACAACCTGGAACTAGATTTCAAACCCAAGGCCTGTCCTTAATTCTCTCTTCCTCCTTCAAGCAGGAGGTGTCTCCACGTTGTGATGCTTGGAGTTGAGGAGGGCAAGACACAGGCGACTCCTTTCTGCTTCTTCAATGAATGTTTTATCATTGTTTTAAAACCAGGCATGAAACTCATGCCCCGGCTTCTCCCACTCTTGTCAAGGTAGGCTGCTGGGTCATTGCCCAAACTGGTGTTTCTGTCAGGAGGTGATTGATGGAGGATCTTCCTCTGTCATCTTGGTTCTTTTGTCTGTACTTTTGATCTGTGCACCTGATGTATTGAAGTATTTACATAATATAGTTGTTGATAAGCTTGGTTGTGTAGAAAAAAATACCAACTTCGTTATTATTTTCTATTTGTACTTTACTTTTAAATTCTCTTTCCTCTGTTCTATCTTCTTGTGAATTGATTGACAACATTTTATTTTTTTATTTTATAACTTCTGCTGCATTATGGTCTTTGTTCAACTTCATTTTTATAAAGTTGGTTTACACACCTCTCTTTGCTGGTGTACATTTATGTACTATTGCATTCCTCTTGCTTGCTATGTCATGTTTTGGTGTCTGTCAACAGGCTTGCAGGGAACAGGCAGGCTTCCCTTCCTTCCGTGTTCTGGTTGTAGTGGACTGTAGACATTCTGGAGCCTGGACATGGGAAGTGAAGCAGGTTGCTTTTCTTTCCAGCTGCCAGGGAGACAGCCAGGAGTCATCGCAGTTTCCAGGTGTTGGCACGTGTCTGGTGGCTCACACTCTCGGGCCGGGGCAATGGGCAGGCAGGCGGCTGCTCTGCTTCCCTTACCTCCTGCCCTTCTCAGCTTCTTTGACTCACACTCGGTCAGCTGTGTGCTAAGCTCCCTAACAGGAGGTGACAGCCTGCTTGCAAAGCACTGTTCACTACGTGTGGCGGTGCACAGAGCCTGGCACAGCTTCCAGTTCATCCAGCTCGAGCTAGATTAGTCTTTATTTCCTCCTAGTATCGCCCCCCCCCCACCACCAGTTGCCTTCCTGCACAGTTCAAGTTCCAGCTCCAGATGCAAAGACAATAGCCTTATAGGGATTCTTCAGCGTGCTGCTCATAGTGCTGAAGGTAGACATCATTATAATACACTGTAGGTTCAAGAAGTCTGTAGGAGCTCTCTACTTCTGTGGAAGAAATTACACCAAAGCCTAGTAGTTTAGAATAACAGAGGACATCTTTAAAATATTTCTAACAGCTTCTGTGGGTCAGGAAATTGCAAATGGCTTAGGTGAGCATTTCCACCTTGGGGTCTGTTGTGAGGTTGTGGTTAAGAGATCATCTGGGGCTGCAGTCATCTGCAGGCGTTCTGAGGGCTACAGGAAATGCATCTGGGGTGCCTCATGCATATGGTTGGCAAGACAGAGCTAGTATTGTTGTGCGCCCTTACTTCTTGCACCTAGGCTTTACCTTGCACAGCTTACTGCCTTCATGCTCTGCGGAGAGCTTTTGCTTGGAGCAATTACTGAAAGAGAGTCCACTGGAGACGTATAGCTTCTGTTATTTCACTTCAAAACTGACCATTCAGGGCCCAGCACAGTAGCACAGTGGCTAGAGTCCTCGCCTTGTATGAGCTGGGATCCCATAGGGGCATGGCAGCTCCGCCTCCCGTCCAGCTCCCTGCTTGTGGCCTGGGAAAGCAGTCAAGGACAGCTCAAAGCCTTGAGACCCTGCACCCATGTGGGAGACCTGGATGAGGTTCCTGGTTCCTGGCTTCAGATCAGCTGAGCTCTAGCTGTTGCTGCCACTTGGGGATGAATGAATTATTGGATGGAAGACCTTCCTCTCTGTCTCTCCTCCTCTCTGTATAACTGATTTTCCAATAAAAATGAATAAATAAGTATTTTTTAAAAAGTGACCATTCAGATGACCATATCAATATCGGAGCGCGTAGGTTCAATTCCTGGCCCAAGGTCCCAGTTCGGCTTCCCGTTACGCGGCTCCCAGGAGGTAGTGGGCGATGGTTCAAGGGATGTAGGTGACCTGAATCCAGCTCCCAGTGCTCAACTTTGGCCCAGTTCCTTCCTGATTGTCGCAGTCATTTGGAGAGTGGGTCAGCAAACGGGACCTCCCTCTACCTTTCAAATAACTTTGTAAAGTGACATAAAATCATTTATATAGAATAGTAATCCACTCTCATTTCTCTTATTTGTGATTTTGCTTTCTGTGGTTTCAGTTAGCTGTGGTAAACTTGCAGCCCAACAATACTAAATGGGAGATTCCAGAAATAAACAATAAAATTCAAACTGCCAGCTGTTCTTCGTGATGTGATAAAATCCAAGCCACTCTACCTTGTTGTGACAGTACATCAGTTATTTGTGAGTGCTGTACATTAGTGCTATATATGCCACTTGTCTGCTGCTCTGTTAGTAGCTCACTAGGGTGTTAGATTAACTAGTGCTGTGTCACAGTGCTTCTATTCACATAGTCCTCATTTTGCTTAGTAAGAGTCCCAAACCGCACATTAGTGATCATAGTGATGCCAGAAATTTGGAATTGCAAAGGTGAAGCCGTGAAGCCCTCCCTCTAGGGGTTGGCGTCAGGATTGAGTGGGTAGACACACCTGTGATGTTGGCATGCCATATGGATGCTGGTTCAAGTCCTGCATGTTCCTCTTGTGATGCGGCTCACTGCTTATGGCCTGGGAAAACAGCTGAGGATGGCCCGAGTGTTTGGGCCCTTGCTGCCATGTGGGAGAACTGGGATGAAGCCCCTGGCTCCTAGCTGTGGCCTGTCTCAGCCTAGGTCATTGTGGGGGAATGAATCAGTGCACAAAAGTTCTCTCTCGGTCTCTCCTTCTCTCTATACCTCCTTTAAAAAAATGGCTTTCCATGGTACAGTTTTGTAATTATAAGAGTTTACCCCTCCTCCCCACTTCCTCTCTTTGTTTTCCCCTCCCTTAATTCCCCCCCCCCCACATTATCATAGTAAGTATAATCCCTTAGTGGCAATTACAAGTTTAACTTTCTGCTATTTAAATGTATCATGGCTTGTTGGCAAAGGCAGAAAATCTAGTGTTGTACTGTAAAGCTATATTTAAATGTTTCACTGGGTGTCCTACTTTTATTCAGAAGTGGAGCTACATACTACAACGTGTCTTTACTTGCTGGTATGCTAGTCTCCATTGTACTAGTCATCTATGAGAATATTTGCATGCGTTTGTTTAGCTATATCTATTTATTTTGTACTTGGCATAAGGGCTCTCTTAGAACATGTAATGTTTATCCTTTGGGACTTTATTATCCTTTTGGCTTACTTCTCTAAATATAATGGTTCCCCGTTAGGATCATTTTGTTGCAAACCATAGGATTTCATTCTTTCATATGGCTGATTAAGTATTCCACAGAGTAGATGCACCACAGTTTCTTTATTCATTCCTCTGTTGATGGGCATCTGGATTGATTCCATGTCTTCACTTGTGTGAATTTTGCTGCTATAAATATATGGTTGCAGGTGGCTCTCTCAAATGCATTTCATTTGAATGAAATGGGTCATGTGGTAGATGAACTCTCAGCTGGCTAAGCGCTTTCTCTCCACACTGACTTCCATAGCAGTTGGTTACATTAGTTTACATTTCCACCAACAGTGGGTAGGGTACCCTTTCTCCCACATGCACAAGGTGTTGTTAGTTGATTTCTGGATGTAGGTCAGCCTTGCTGGAGTAAGGAGAACTCTCAGTGCGGTTTATATTTGCATTTCCTGGATTGCTAGAGAACCTGAGCATTTTTTTATGTGGCTATTAGCCATTTGAATTTCATCTTCTAAAAAGTATCTGTGCATGTCCTTCATCCACGTCTTAGCAGTGCTGTTTTGCTATTGTTGAGTTTCTGAAGCTCTTTGTAGATCTTGAATATATTAGCTCCTTAACTATCGTGTAGTGTGCAAAAACATTTTCTCCCATTCTGTTGGCTGCTTCTTTGCTTTGTGAACTCTGATTTGAAATAATTAAAAAAAAATTTTTGAAGGTCTTTAAGTGAAAAGATGAAAGTTCTCAGATTAATATAGACGGAATAATTGTATACTAATTTGGCTAAGATCTACAAGTATAGTATGACATTTTGAGCCAGAAAAAGAGAGGTACCAAATTCACTTCATTTAGCTCTTTTGTATATTGTTACGGTTTTTCTATTTGTTATTAGTTTTTGTTCTTAATATCTTACTGTGCCCAAGTATAGATGAAGCTTTATTGCAAGTATAAATATGCGTAGGGAAAATCATATCTATTGGATTGGGCGTGAGCTGTGGTGTCTGGGGTTGGGGTCCCGGAATGTATTCCCTGTGATCACGAGGAGGCAGCTGGTTCGCTGCGGGAGGAATAGTCACTCAAGGGCATGGATGTCAGAGCAAAGAGGACTGGGGGTGTCTCAGAAGCCAGCTGCTGCATGCTGTAAGCACCCAGCTATATACCTTCAGGACTTTCTCCTTGGCCTTTGTTCCTGTGGGAGTCATATGTGTTACATATGTTTTATGTTCTGGAACACATCATTCTTATTTGTGCTTCAAATATTTAATAATAATCTTTAGGACTTAAAACCCCATTTTTATATTGACTTTGATAAATAACTGTTCTTTCACTCTCCATAACTTTTCATTTCATATTACTTTTTTCACTTAATGAATTTCCTTTTGTCATTTCTCATAATGGAGGTCTACTTGTAGAAAATATTACTTTCTTGGGACTTACGAAGTTTTACCACCACCTTTGTTTTTACAAATATCAATATTATTTGAAAAGTAAGCAGAGACAAAGAAAGTTCTTGCATTCACTGGTTTACTGCCCAAATGGCTGAATTTAGGAATCAGGAACTCCATGGGGATCTCCTATGTAGAGGACTGGAACTTAAAATTCTAGGCTATCACCTGGTGCCTCCTAGGCTCATGAGCAGAAAGCTGGATTGGAATGGAGGCAAAACTTATTCAGGGATATCCAGCTTGTGATACAAGTGGACCAAGTAGTGGCTCAGCCCACTACAACACAACGCCTGCCACTTTGCCTTCATCTCTGAAAGGTATTTTTGTTGAATGGTCATTTGACACTTTTTTCCTTTAAACATTGAAAATGTTGTTCCATTGTCTAGCTGCTTGCATGTTCACGCTGAGTAGTTAGGTGATTGAAACTCATGGATGGGGTCCAGCATGGTTGCCTA